TTGCCAACATGGACGCTTTATTCTCCTGACGGATGCATAGTTATTTATAATATGCTAGACTGTCATTCTTATGTACATTTTACTATAATAGTCACATTTGATGTTACCGTGTTAAATTTAATTAGTGCCCATTTCAATTAAAAATAAATAAATAACTAATGGTCAAAAAAACAATTTGACTTTCAGATTTCTAGAGTGAATTTCATAAACGTCCCGTAGCAGTTTACAGAATCACAAACGGAACTGTAAAAATCAATATAATACTATAAGGTTATACCAAAGTTTCTCGGAATAAATATTTAGCTATATAATGTTTAATTTTTTTTTTTTTTTCGAAATCTGCCACAAAATTTAGAATTCCCATAGTAGGGATACATCAGAGATAAAAAATGCACAGTTATTCTCAACAAATGCAAAAGATAAAAAAAAAAACATAAAAAGTATTAATAAATATTTGATATAATATGAATGCAATGTATTTATTGTAATGATTTATAGTATACTTTATACGAGAGAAAATAGCGATTCGAGGAAATTAAATTTCTATAAGAAATTAATTTTTCTATATTTTAATAATACGATTAAATAATTTATGAAATAAAGACTTTTTTTTTTTTTAACCTCTACTTTAAGATTTTTGTATTTATATTATATAGTATATAAAGACGAAAATAAGTAAATCTTTAAGTTAATTATCAATCGTGTTATTAATTTTTAAAGTAATCGGTAAATACACACACAAAAAGGTATAAAGGCATTTTTTTTTATTTTTATGGATTAGATTAGTAAAACGGATGTAAATAAACAAAATTTTAAAAGTTAGTGACACAGATAAAAAGAACACAAAAAACTATGCGCCGTATTGTACTCTATTATTTAAAAAAAAAAACGCTTGCCGAAAGGATGAATATTTTCAGAGCCGACCCATCACAAAGATTTCCAATTTCGCATTTATTTATATAGATATAGATTAACAATCGAGTTATTCATTTTACATTAGTATAAATTGTCTAATAATACGCAAACAAAATTTTTAAAAAACGCCGTGCCGTCTGCGAGCGACTATAATGTACGGTACATGTGTACGCCCAATGTCCACGCAGCGTCTGAAATCTGCGATAGGATAGGTCACTTCTTTTGAAATCCATCCCATCATTCCCCGAAATTCGATGCTTGGATATTTTTGGTATGGAAATTGTGAAAAAATTTTACAACAGAACACTTTTAGTTCTCCGAAGGTAGACTATTCACTTCTGTCTATTTGTTTTCATTCAATACTGACACGGTCAAAACCAAGAAGAAATGTGGGTACATAAAGAAAAAAATAATAAAAAATCGATACTGACAACGCCGGATGAGACAGCTAATATTCTATAAAACGAACAATTTAAATTATTTATGGAAATCATAATTTAATGTTTTTTTTTACTGTATGAATTCCTACAAAAAGAAAAAAAAATAATAATTACAATTATCATGTTATTAATCAGAGACGCGTTTTATTTGAAAAAAAAAAATTCTCAACGAATATAATTATTATTATTCAATTATTTTTTAAATAAATTAATATTGTATAACTTCGATTATTATACAATGGAAACATAATAATATAGAAACCGGAAGTAATTTGTTATCCCTAGAAATTTCAATACCCCTGGCACCCCCTCCCTCTTTTGAGTTTTGGGATCTGACCCGATTTTCTATGCTTCATTAGTACACTTTGTTCAATCTTAAAACTGTCCAAAAAAAAATATGAACCTAAATAACATAATATAATAATAATAGTATAGGAACGAATTTCAGTTACTTCCGATTGATTTCGGTTGAATAATTAAGTACATAGTACAAATTTTAAATTTTAGTTTTTATTTAAAATTAATATGCTTTTAAATTTTATGGGATGTCGGTATCTTCAATAATGGGACAAAGTGAAAACGAAATTTATTTATTTATCATACAGCTCAATCATAAAGTAATATAAACATTTGAACATTTTCAAACATGGACTTTACAATATTTTACTGCAATTTAGTATGGACTGATTTACATAAATGTTTAAGAAATCTTATTGAGATAGGTAATTTTTTTTTTTTAATCGAAAAGTTTATACATTTTACTGAAATATTGATATAGGAGGAGGGAATGTATCAATTATGCGCTTGTTTTAAATATAGATAGGTACCTATAAAATATTTTTTAAAAACAAAATAGTACTTTAGTATTCGTTCGTAGGTATTTATTATTAAAGACTCGCACTCAAGTTAAACTCAGCTTTTCTACGCATTTAATACGCATTCTCAGAAAATAAAAGCACCTATATCATATTGTACAAAGGACAACGCACGATTTCTCATAACATACTTTTTTTACCTATACACGATTCTACGGATTCCCACAATACAATCGATATATTTTTTTAACCTTAAAACAATACGATTACACACAAAAGTTGTTGCATCGTTTCCACTGTTATGGTTTTGATCAAAATACAAAGGTGATAACATTGAAATCTAAATTCAGCTACAGATAGTGCTGATGTCGTTTATCGTGATAGGGTATCTTTATACTTATTTGCATCATATTGCATGTGTTTTATCGTTTAAAATGTTCATTCTCAATCTACTACTAGACGTCTAAATAACTTACATTATTGAAAAATCGAACTTCAATATTATCGTTTATAATACATACAATACCATTAAAATTGCATGGCACTTAAATATTTTCCATGACATTCTTATTTAAAAAAAAAAATACATAAGTAAAACTTGTTGGGACTACACCTTCTAAACTATAACATTTTTCTTATTTTGTCACCTTATTTTTTTTGGGGGGGGGAAACAACTTCCTGCTTTTAATTCTCAAATGGTAGCCTATATTTCAAATTTCATACATATATGGAGTATTAGCTTAAATACATTTTTTGTTAAAATGTTTGATTTCCCTCGAGATATTGACAAAATATTCCTCTTTTAAATTTGAGTAGGGAGAGAGTAGTAGAGCGTTATTTGATTGGCCATTGGCTACACGGCACGACACATTTGAATACTACTTTATTACTCTTCCTCTATTCAAACTTGGAAAAGTGGGAATATATCGTCAACGGGTCGACAGAAATCAATAATTTCAACACACAACAATGCATTTTAATCTAATACTCCATTTATTTCTGGAATTTTCAATATAGATGGCCAATTGGATATCAAAAGTGGATATTTGTTTCTCACCTAAAAATAAGGGTGAAAAAAATAATGACAACGTTATATACCATTTTAGAATAATATGTTCTAAAATTGTTATATATAAATCATATTTTGAAAAAATAATTATTTCTTGGCGAATTCAACTGTACAATAAAATTTGAATATAATGTAGGCCAATATATTATAATACATTATAATATGTATATATTGTATTATAGACCCATCAAAACTAAAAATGATTTAATTTCACTCTAGAATGTCTAAAACTTTCGTTAGAATATTTAAACAACGGAAATTTCGTCAGATTTGTATTTTGTTGAAGATGTTTTACAAAAATCCAAAATACGAATGCATAGTATTACAGTATGATGATTTAACACACTAAATTATTATTTTACAAAGGAAAATTGCCACCACGTCCGCCACGTTACAAAAAAATTAATCAATGACTATACAAACGAACTGCTGAACGATATTAATAATAATAATAATAATATTAATTTAATATTAATATTATATTATAATCGGTGCACACGTCGAACTAGACGACATTTATTTATGGCTGATAAAATTAAAACCGTTTAACTCGATGAAAAAGTTGATTAAAAAAAAAAAAAAAAAAAAAAAAAAAACGTGCGATATTCATTTATTCAATTTCAGCTAGCCGTTCAACGGATAGTGCGGTGATGTAAAAGTGTAAAACATTGATTTATCGCACCTCTATAGGTAGGTACCTATGTAAATCGCTTTTCAAGGGTCACGTTACATGTCGCGTGCTTTATTCACAATATTTATGTATCCAATAATAGTATTATACCGAGGCTGGCCTTTACTAATGGATTCTCCCTCCTGATGCGGTGGCAATATATAATATATTTTAAAGCCTCCGGTTACACACCTTGTATTATAAGGGAAATCGGGCCCACTCACGGGCCGATTGTCCTAGATATTAGGTATATACTATTTCGCATACTGAGTTTCTTGCAAACTTCTATACCATATTTCATAATATCTTCTGGCAAACATAATTCTCGCAGACTTGCATAAATTGACATACACAAATCAAATATTAAATAGGGTTTAAAGTAGTCCTAATCGACCATTGCATGAACATAAAATACTATAAAATAATAGAATCGAGGCCTCTCAATTGATAACTAAAAATGTCGAGAAAAAAAAACTTTGTTAAAGATGTTTAGAAAAACATTTAAAAGAGTAAAAGGTACAAAATGTTACAATGTTCGAAGATTGTGTGCCGAAAATTTCGAACAACCCTTTATGTAGCCAGAATTGATCAAGGTAAAGGCAAAGATGGTTCCGAAAAATGCCTGTATAGTATCCGATTAATACTTATTTATTAGGAACTTTCTTTTATTCCAATAATATCAGTCACGAATCATTTTGATCATTCCGAAAAGAAACTGTATCGAATCTAATAAACTGGTACTTAAAATTATCCACTGAGAATCATTTTAATCTTCCTGAAAATATCTCATTTTGTTCCTCAAATTCCTCACTCCCTATTTTTCTATTTGTTGCTGAAATATTTTAAAATTGACATGATAACTTAAATATATATATATAAAATTAACTGTTTTTTTCAATAACCCAGTAGGTAGTCTAGTGGTGTTTAGGTTCAGATTATGTTACGGTTTGGTTCCCAGTGGTATATTTTACATTTGTTTTTTATTTTATATTTTTAGATGACCTTTTTCAATACTGAAATAGAACATATTCCAACAAGGTTCTTATACTGGTGAATCTGGGACGCTAATGTGATCAATACCAAAAATCTAAGTCATTTTTGTACCCTTTATCCATTGTTAATAGAATACTCGATATTAGTATTTACATCATTATTTTCTATAGGTACTAACTCTGTATATTACCCTACTATATCATAATATAATGTCGATTGGATTTCATTGCACGCTGGAACGACTTTAAACCCGTGTACACATGTAAGGCATTGTTCCTATTATGCGTGGTAGAAATATGAAACGTGTAATGATTGTTATTTGAATATTTACCCATTAAAGGGGGTGGATTTTCTTTTGTCTTACTGTATTCTCGACTTCACGGCCTAGTAAAAGCGTATAGCGTGTTCGTGGTTTGAAAATTTGCTTTTGAAGAACGATATTTTTGCGTTTCTTCGTATGAAGTGTTGTACCGAACTTAATCAGACGGCAGTGTCTAGTTGGGTTTTGGTTGAAACGTAGTTTAGCAGTGTTAAAATAATTTTTATGAAATATTGTTTCTATAAATTTTCTTTAGAAATAAAAGGTCCTTAGGCTTGGCCAATTGAAATTGGCTCATATGCAAATATAAATATAATATACGAGTAGTAACGCATATTTTATTTAAAATAACAAAAGAAGCGTATGTATTCTGTTTTTATCTGTTTATAAGTATGCACCGAACTATTCTGAAAAATCATATAAAACTAAAACTAAACAATCAAAAGTCTTAAGACGAACAGTGAACCCAGGCCGAAATACGCAACTCGTCCGATTTAATTGAAAATACAATTCTTATATAATACCTAGAAAATCCGAAATCATTTCATTTCTTTCGACATAATTATATTATTCTTTTGTACTTGTATTGTATAGTAGTGCGAAGGGAAAAAATTGAATAATAATAATAAAAAAAAAAATTCTAAGATTTTCTTTAGCATATAATAATGTAGTCTATGAATGGAGGACAGATGTTTCGGAGTTTTTTTAATTTTTTAAAAAATATATTTCATAATTATTATCTACCCAAGTTGCATAAATTAATCAATACTAAAATACCTAACTGGAAACCATCAGAAACCCTTTCAAGGCGTATTTCGTTTCGAAATATAACTATAAGTAAAACCTTTGATATAACAGAATATTATGATAACGTAACGGCAAATATTGTGATGGAGTTTGAATGTTGACCAATTGTTACACGAATTTTAATCAATAATATTTATAATCTTTCGATGTCAATTCGAACAGTCGAATATATTACTCGAAATTACGGCAAAAAATGTACCTGTTAAACTTACGCTGTAACATCATAATAAACGTAAATGGTCAATGTTGTTTTATTATAGTTTAACTGCAGCAGCAGGCCGTTAAGGAAAAAAAAAACGGTTCCTTTTTATTTTTATATGCGAAACGCGATGCCTCCTTAAATACAGTTAAATGACAGTGTAGGTATTCAAGGAGGTGGGAAAAAAAACCATCCGCGTCCGTCCAAAAGTGTGTATACGACGATTTCGAAGAAAAAAAACCCGTTTGGATTCGACAGAGCAGAAAATTTCGAAATCGTCCGGGATGTTTCTCTAGTCCACTAAACGGTGCGTGCGCGTGCACGCACACACAAACCCGCACACACACACATACACATATACACACATACACATATACACACATACGCGCGCGCGTGCGCGCTCAAACATACATATACTCGTAACGGACACAATATAAGCTTTTATCGACTGACAAATCGTGCACACTTTGTATATAACATATACACTCACACACGCCCACACACAGGTACAACAATATTATTCACTTTAATATGATGCGCATAAACACACACAAAAGCAAACGCGTTAAAGTATTTTAGGCCTATACGTAGGAGGAACGGGTACGTGACAAAGCCTTTTGGGTCGTATTAAAACGGTAAATCCGATTACGGAGATAATATAACGAAAACGAAACTCGATACATTTATATATATATTATTATAAATACGACCAACACTTTACCTTGTTTACCCCCGGTGAACTCGAAATTTTTTTTCTCGCAAATTATTATAACTATTTTTCCATTATTTTTTAATATTTTCGTGCCATCAAAACTCCGTTCCAGCCTCCCCCTTTCCCAGCCTCATGTCTAAGTTTCTTTTTATCGTTTATTGAAATATGTGCAGTAATCTGCATAATATTTAACGTTGTCGGGCATACAGCCGTTTTTTTATATTATTATAAGTATACGTATTTATAAAATTAAGCCGAGTGAACTGCTTTACGTATTTTATAATATTATTGAAAATATATTACCGATACATTTATTTATAAACAACAGGGAAAAAGATAGGCTACCTAATATAAGGTTATTTGACTTAATCTGTACTCAACGATATATCTTTGCTTTGACTTACAATTCTGAACAAAATTCAGTTTAACATACGTCGAAATGCAGTGACTTTTGCGATTTCCATAAAAGTTTAAACTTTAAACGCGTATAATAACTATAATTTGCTGAAATTTTCTTTTCTTTTTTTACCACTACAAGTACATATTATAATGAACTTTGTGTAAAATGTTCCAGCATTTCTACTCAGCTAAGACAATTTTGTCTAATAAAACTAAATAAAGATTTTTAAAAATACTTTATAAAACAAATACTTATAAAAATTTTGGAAATCGACAAAACATGGTCAAATTTTTCAATTTCTAGAAAAGGTTAAAGAAAAATATTCTGTGAAAACATTAGATCTTTACAATTATTTCCAATCGATAAAAAAACAAACGAATCAAAATAACGAAACCTTTATTGTCGAAAACTTTTCCATTTTTCCAACAGTAGGTATAAAGGGGCAGTTCTGGACTCCCGGATAGCCAGGCAAGCCAGATACCTCTTCCGCCTATTTCTTCCATTTCCGGTTTCCACCACTTCATCGACCTACAAGACCATATTTACTTCCGGTTTTTCTTATCATACTTCCGATTCTCTTATCGGCTGTAATATCTTATCAGTTGTTGAAACGTCATTATCTCTTATTACTCGTTGTCGTGTCATGATCTCTTTTTATATGTTATTTCTTATCAGGTGTTGTCACCTTAACAGTTATTATCAGATCTTATCAGTCATATGCGCTCTTATCAAATTATTAGCCGTTCCAACCAACGCTACATGCCAAAAATGACTTGCCATAACTCAATAAAAAATAAATACATTTTCATATCAAAAATACCAATAACTCTATGTCAACCATAGGTTAGGTGTTGAATTCAAGTGGAAGGAATTGATATGTTATTCGTGGTCTAGATCTACATTTATGAAAAGTTCATTCAGTAGTTTTGGTGTGACATGGCAACAAACATCCACCCAAAAATAAATCGCACTCATAATATTATAATGATACAAAGATAAATTTATATCTTCGGTTTTAGAAATAGTTGTATCGTTATATGTAGATTAATTTCAGTTGGACGATTTTTATCTATAGATAATCAAAACCGGCACTGGTTACAACGACTCGCATCAACGAAATCGTCGTCAAAAACGCCGGAATTCACGTGACCCGGACTCTATAATAATCATCTCGTATTATATTATAGACGTACTAATCACGCTATAATATTAAAGGTACTTGCCCTAAAACTGTGCCGGGTCTCTGGCGATGTTTCGGATGAAATTAAATGAAAAAAAAAAATTACCAAATTCCGATCGCATCGCAGAAAATGTTTTCGTTTATCGATCTTGTCGTCGTCACGGTTCACGTAGCCGTCCGAAGACTCGGGACCGCCATCGAAAATGTCATCGTCGTCATGATTAGTGTCCATTGTCGTCGACTCTCCGTGTATACTTGCGGATAACTGCCCGAGAAATCCAATTACTCGTGTCATCGCTGTCAAAACACCACCGTCGCGTGACCATTGTCGATTGCGTGCCCGTGGCCATGCTCGCGTGAATACTACGGTTTTGTAACACTGTATCATATAGAGATACTCTATACACACAGTTAGTATGTAGTTATAGTGGTTAAAACATAGGTGCCTTTAGAATTTCTTAAATTATGTCTTTTGTACGACGATTATTAATAATTAAAGTTTTAAACTGGCCCAGGATCGGACTAGCTAGTGTGAGACCTTATCTGCACGAGACTATTTTTATATTATTGCACAGCTCGATTTTTTTTTATACAATATTATATATTTTTTCTAATTAGTATAGATAGACAGTGGTAAAAATCGAAATATTGTGAGACCTAATATAGTGTGGACCGTATAGATTGGATATTATTGACGAAATAATTTATATTATAATGTAATATAATTTCTATATAATAATTATATTGAAAGGGAACCTTTAAATTTTAAAGGGTTCCGTGATTTTGTTTAAATGTACATTGTTATTACTGTAATGTATACATTTCGACCAAAAGTGCAATTTCAATCCATGTTCCGTTTCTGTGCATATTATGTGAAGGAATTATTAGACACGTGGCCCTTTTAGTAGTTTGTATGTCAATTCCCGGTGAGGCATTCAATACATAATCCTACCCTGATACCGGCCGGTGTTAGAATTTAAACGATAAAATTAGTGTTATTGAAAAATTGAATAATTTATCTAATCTAACCTAACAGATCCTTACCGAGAGTTCAAATACTGTATACAAGATGATCAATATAAAATAAACACTCATTGTCTCTGAAAATATTAGAGACACTTTTATAGAATTTTTAATATTGGTTACCATTTTAAAATCAAAATGTATTAATGGTATCACAGCAAATAAGACGATTTTTATATTTTATAACTGTTTGCTTATTAGGTTTTTGAAAAAAAAAGCGGGTTAAGTTTTATTGATCGTCATGTAAGTCGGTTTTTTTAGATTTTGTACACACAAACATTCGGATATTATAATGTTATTATTCAAAATAACATAGGATCGTAGTATTATAAGTTATTACATAAAATCATACATTTTGCAATTTATAGAGCCCAAGAAAATATTATTCCCGAAATTGACAAACGTCGTATCTAACTCGCCCAAGGGAAAAATCAGAGGTCTCCGAAAAGATTATCTGTAGGAGGAATATTATATAATTATTATACGTATACCAACAAAAATCCGTCTTGATAAAATAATTTCATAAAATAAAAATCGTATATATATATTATTTTTAAGAAACGTGGTATACTTACCAACTATAATTATTATTACATTTTGATAAATGTGTATAAAAAAAAAAAAAAACTTTATTTTACTTCTGAATAAATTTTAATTATATTGCTTTAGGTTTTTTTTTTTTTTTTTGTTTTACTTTTAATGGAGAAAATATAAAGTAGATATTATATCTATCAAGGACTCCCTTGGCATACTACTGAAAATGAGTGATTTACTAGCCCGGAGTAATCGTAGTTCATGTAATTCTCCACAGACACACCGCAGACCGATTATTGAACTACAAATTATCATCAGAGTACGCCCTAGAGATCTTTTTGAAACTTTTTACTTTCAACTGTACATATATACCTACACATTAAAAAAAAAGTAAAATAATATTTCTTATTCGTCTTAAATTAAATACTACCCAGTATGAAACATTTAAAAATGTTTTCGATTCTTGATTGATATTATAACATCAATAGGTTTAGTCCATTTAATCAAGTTAATGCTAAAAATATTTATAATAAATATGTATCGATATTATGGTGTGTTGCGCCCTTTCAAAACATTTGGAGTACTCACGCAAATGTCTACAATATTCGTAAATCTTAAAACAAAGTTTTGAATTTCGTTTTTATGACGATGTCTGGTTTTTGATTATGTAAAGAGATTATATTTTGTGATAGATTTGTCGTATTTCATTTTGTATGTGTCACATACGTAATAATAATATGTTTGACCGCCGTGTTTGATATTATTTTCAGTAGATGTACGGGTAAGTAGTGATTCTATAATATTATTCTACTGAATCTTTATTTCATAGATATTGCTTCTTATAGATTTCCCACAGGAGCTGTGAGTCTTTGGCATATATAGAACAATAATATAATGTCTGATATCTATATAGTGTTGTTTATATTTTTTTCCTGTCTGTTTCGCATGTTATTTGATCGTTAAAAAAATTTCCCTTAACTTTTTTGTTTTTAAATTTAAGTTACAACTGTTCGGTACTGACATGCCATCATAATCGTATCGGAATCTTTGAAATCTTCTATTAATTTGAGTTTTTCTCAAATGACTATTATTATGTATAATATGTATATACCTGCGTGATGGGCATTTACCCGGTAATTGGAGACCTGTCTCACAAAAAAATGTCTAGTTTCTCCATCACATGGTAACAAAATTAAAAATAGTATAATAAAGTAAAAAAAAAAAAAAATTATTTACTCAAATTTTAAGTAAATAAATATACTTACAGGTAAATACCCAAGACACATCCTTTCTAATAATCTATATTCTATGATGTTTACATCTTTAATTAATACATTAGCTATAATAATGAATATAAATTTATTCTACATATAAAAAAAAAAACCGTTTGTTTTCTTATATGATTAACGAAATATTATAACCTTATAATAATGTATACTTAATAATAATATATTTATTTAGGAATTTTGTGTGTGACTAAAGTATATGGTAACTTGTACTGAAGTCGAGCAAATATTTGGAAAATATACATAATATTCTATAGTCAAGTCTCGACACTCAAGAACATGAGAGTAATGCAAAGTTATTTTTTCCTTTTTTTTACAAATTTAGATTATATTTTAAGTCTAAAACTATTTGATTTGGGAGACTTTGTTTTATGTTTATCAATAGAATACGTTTTTTCTTTTTCATAATAAATATGGTCTATATTAGTTTAATCGCTAAAAATTGTAAAGAAGAAATGTTAAATTTGTATTTAATTGATTTTTTTTTATCCAATTCCTGTAGTCTGTTCGACTTAAAATGTACATTTTCGACGACAATACAAAAATCAATAATTAAAACTTATCATTTCTACTTCCGTTTTCAAAGGGGATGGAAATTCGAGGAAAAATATATACGAAATAAAAATATTTATTTCATTTATGATGTACACAAACGTTTGTTCGGTAATAACAATATTCTTAGATTGCGTATGAAACACGAATTATTCGAAACGTTTGCGATTTCAGTCGAAATCGTTCTATTGAGTTATTGTATATACTCTAAGTACTTAGGTACACAAGTACGTACTTTATACAGCGAAGTTAATGAATACGTGACAATTATTGTTCCTTGAACTTGCTCCTAAAGCTTTTGCGGTTTTACATAAATTGGAAGAGAATTACTGCAGTGGCGTTTGCATTATATTGAAGGGTCACGTGGGATACTCACAAGGTTCCGGCAATTCAGTAGTTTTATTATTATATTATGTACGTAAGCTTAACATGATTATAATATGAATTTTAACGGAATCGATAGGCTTTTAATATTATATATTTACGAGAAAACATTTATAGCCCTGGCTGCCGTTTGCTGTATTTTAGTTTAACATGCTGCAGACGCGCGACAGTTTAAAAATCCTTTGGAATTTATAAAATTCAATTTTTCTTTATTTATTTTTATTCAAATTCAATAAAAAAATGCAATGCGATGTTTCCGACAGCTTTTGTTCTTAGGCTATATATAATAATGTAGTAAAAAAAAAAAAAATAAAACCGTGTTTAGGAGAGTCGTGTACGCAGAGGTCGACAAATATTCGAAATTAAAATGACATCCACTTCGTTTATTGAAGGTATGATGTATATATATATACATCATACAATTTTTTAAGATACTTTTAATGTTATTCGTCAAGGCATTTTTTGTTTTCACACAGACCTTATTGTAGGTACAGTATTATTCTGACAGTAATTTAAAATGTTCATAAAGTTACGATATACGTATATAGCATGATAAACCTCCTACAAGTCTGCCCGTTCATAGAATAATATAATTTAAACGAGTGATAGACATTTATTATACTACCTATACATTTTCGAAAATATTCAATTTTATTATTATGCATGGTAAAATACAAATATTAAACAATACAATAACTAATGAAAATAGTTGATATTGCTAATAGGAGTAACAAAATTCCTTTTTTGTTGACAGTTTTTGAAATGTAAACAAATTTACATTACATCAGCGGTTTAATTTTTGTTGATTTCTGTATTTTGGCCACGGATACAAGGGAATGTAAGGGGAAAAAACACGACTAATAATCCTATATCAAATACTAATCCGCTCATTATCGTTTTTTTTTTTTTTGGTATGTATATAAATTTACCAGGGATTTAATATCCCATAAATGTACCTTTCAAACTTCCTAACTACTTCAGCGGCCTACCCGTGCGAAATACGTCAGGATGTTTATTATCCTTTACCGTTAAATTTAGGAACATTCTAATTTAAAAAGCCTTGGAAACATACTTGTAGTCACAAGTATGTTTCGAACTACCTAAGTATACTTTATACAGTATTATATTATAAAATTATGACATAAAAAAAATTATATCGGTAGTAAGTATAATATCCTTTAACATTTTAAATTTAAAACGAAACGTCTATTTTTCGGTTTTAAGTATGTTCTCGTGTTTGAAATGTTATATGGGTACGTAGAGATTAATTTAATAGAAAATATCAAAAAATAAAACGAAAAATCAAAATATTAATATATACCTAATATATATACATATATTTTTTAAGGGAGATAAAGTTTTATTAAAAAACTATCTGACCCGGCGTACTTTGTACCGCCTAACAGTCAATGAATGTAGTGATACCTTTTAGCTAAACTTAATTTGATTTTAATTAACGTAATAAAATAAATACAAACAATTTATTTAGTTCAATAATTCATTAGGTAATATATATAAAGCAAATAAAAATTTAATAAAACTACAAAAATCAAGTATTTCAATGGCGGGTCGGCAAGACATTTCATTTGATGAAGTTATGTATTTTACTGCATGGGTTACACTTGGTTTGCTGAAACGTGAACATGCCACGTACAATTTTTCTTGAAAAACTAGGTCTAAATTGTTTAAATTCAGACCACAAACACTCAAGGATTGTCCTAGTGATTTGGTATTCGGCATGGTGAATGCAAAACGAATAGAAAATTGAATTCTTTTAAACTTAAAGGGCATATCGGTTGGGATCATCGGAATCCTTGAAATGAGAACTTTTTCACATATTAATTTTTCTTTGAGTATCGTTACGTAAATCATATTGATCATCAGTTTTCTCACCACCAAACGCATTTCATTGCATAGTTTTGGTTGGTTTAGATTTCGAAGCATGATGACTACCGAGCCCACCTTTAGTAGTAAATTATGCAGTGGTAGGCCAGGCACATCCAATGAGTTTAAAAATTCACTTGGATAGTTGATTACTTCATCTTCATTTGTTAAACAGTCAATATATTTGAATGAATGCAGAGTACTAACGATTTGATTCTGAATTACAATGTTTAAGTCATCTACATCTTTATTATTAGCCGTTAAAATAGCTCGCTCACACAACCATTCGTTATATTTATAGTTAGCACTGAGCAATAATGTTTGGAAATACTTTTCTGATGAGCTCGTCTTTAGGTGAGACAAAATTGCGAAAATTCGGAGGAAATGAAATCAATCCGCTCGATTCATTGACAGGAATACGGCCATTACCGATAGTCAGCAATTGCATGGAGAAATCTTGAGCAGATGGATCGTTCTGCAAAGCATTTCTTTTGTTTGTTGACAGCTGAAGTTTCTTCACATAGCGCCACAGATTTGATGATTTAAGGTAAGCGTTTATTCCATCGGCAGTAGTCGATCTTGGAATGACTGACAGTGTTTGACAGAAATTGCCAGACAGTAAAATCATGTGCCTCCAAAACATCTCGAGTCATTGCACAGATCTTTCAATGTTTTATTAAGTACTTCCAATGTGCGTTTGTGCGCCATTTTGTATTCCACCCATTTGATTATTTTAGATACGTTTTAACCATAGATACCAACCTAACACATAGTTTTTCTTTTTAATTTTCTCCATGATCCCAAGGTAACCCAAATAAATAAATTATAATACTAATTAAGAACAATACCTAAAAACCGAATTTTGGAGAATGATTTTTAATAGTGGATGAATATCAGTAGCAATAAATCTGTTCTGTGATGTCTTTTTTAATTTTAAAAAACTACATGACAATTGAATAAGTAGTTTCAGAGAACATGCGTAACAAAGATTTACATTTTGCTTTAATAAAATCTTTCTAAATTAATATCTTGTGCCCATTGGAAAAAGTGTAAATAATAGTGATAATAATAATTATAATATTTTTCTTCTCCGTGGCAACCCTTGAATAAACAAAAATAAATAAATAGGCAATTAGATATTCATACCAAATATACCTAAAAACGGCTATAATTTTTTTTACGTGAATCTTTCCAATATTTTAATAGTTTTTTTGCTATTCGAGGTGGAGGCAAATCCAATAAATCAGAGATCATCAAAATAGGTGCAGCCGTTCTTGAGTTATAAATGGTGTAACTAATCCTTCTTTGTTTTACGTATATAGATAACGTGACAACGTTTTTATGGACTTGATATCGTACCTATAGTATTTACAAAACATAGTAAAAATATAGAGATAAGTCTAAAAGACAATTTCATGGAACATTAGCTAATTTTGATGTAAATAATAAAGTCTTAATCAAAAATATACGTAGAGTTTTAATTGCTCGTTCTCTCTCTCTCTCTCTCTATATATATATATATATATATATATATACGATATATACATATAGAATGTAAACATAAAAACTTTTAGTTTGCAACTTTTCCAAAAAGTTAGTGAACATTTTATATTTAAATGGGTCCTTTAGTAGGTATTTGGTGTAGACTATAAAGTGCAAGTATAGTATGACAAAAAATGAATTTTATGTTTAAATGTGTTTTATATAGGTAGTTGTCTAATAAAAGCTTTAATACTGTTACGTATTAGTAGCTTCCATATAATTTTAGAACTGTCATAATACAAAAAAAAAAACAAAAACAAAAATGATACACATAATCAATATGTGCCTAAGGAAAAAACAAAATTCTAAATAGCCATTTTATCACTCACCCAAGTATATAAAAAATGTCTAAATTATATATTATTTTAAAGATAAAATAATTACATATTAAATATTTATATTTTATTTACGATTTTATCAAATATGAATAGTATTACAATATTGCCACATTTTATAATATTGAATCCCACTCATAAGTTATAGTGACGATAATAATCAATAATTGCTAACATAGAAAGATTTTTAATAAAATTCGGTTAATCGTGTTTTGACAAAACTCAAATTGAAAATATTATATAATTTGTTTCTGTTCTACCGTCCCAAATAATTGAAAATTTTTGTAAAACCAAAATGGTTATAATATCAATATTTTTATTTAATCAGAAAATAGTTCCTATATTCCATGATTTTTACGATTTTCATTAAAATTTACATTTAAAAAGATTGTATTGTGCAAGTTTCAGCAAGATGAATGTTTAAGGGACATGAATAAATTAATTTTTCAAAACTGAATTTCTATTCGGATACTATTTATATTTCAATAAAAACACAAGTTCAAACATTATACTATAAAACATATTACAAGTCCAATAAATACAAATACTAAAAACTAAGAAAAGTCCAAATAATGAATCTTTATACAGATTCGAGCAGTAGTATTATTTAATATGCTCGTCCCTTTTGTACTTATATGATTACAGTTCTCCAGATATGGCATATCTTCAGGTTACATATAGCACGTGAATAGGTTAAGAAAAAAAAATATATATTGTTTATGCTCAAATTTTTTAAATTTTTTTTTTTACTAATCACAACTTGTGATGAACCCCTCGTTAATTTTTGTGAGTATGTTTACTTGACCAAAACAATGTTGACTACGTGAAACCAAATGAACTAAAACACCCAAAAATTTAAATTTACTTTAATAAATATCTCAAATCCACTAGAATGTTTTGGCAATTGTACTACATCTAAAAAGTGTTAGTATAAGTATTTTCTATAAATTTCCGGTCTCTACAATTATTTTCAACCGTATTCTCTCAAAGGTAGTTGTACATATATGAAAAAAAAAACACATCAATCATAATTATAGAAATCCAATACACTCCTCTCGGAATCTAAAAAACTAAAAACAATGGCATTTTATTATCCGTATCTTGTGCTACGTGATGAAAACACAAAATGGGTAAATATACTCATGGTTAACCAATCCAAAATTCAATCTGCCCTCCTCCAGTATGTGCACATATACCAATAATATACCTAATGTAGCTGCACACCGCGCGGTCGCTTTTACGACCGCCGTAAATCGCGTCATTTATTGTCTGAAACGGCGTGAAGTTCATGACTAAAACTCACACGTTGGTCCGCCAACACACAAAACTATACATTTTGTTTGTAGAGTATATCCTAGTGCATTTGTATGCCGGACGGATGCGGATGTCCGATACGTATATAATACAAAATGGTGTATACATAAAAGATTGCCCCCTCTCTCTCCCCATACTGTATGACCGGACTTAACCTTATTTTTAGGACAATAAACGCAGTGTTTAGCGAGTTTCATCTAAGAAAACATTGTTTATGAAAATCCACCTCATATAGTTGCTGTGTATATTATACGTTTTTGCAGTTTCCTGAATGCGCCTTAAACTACGAATAAAATATAATATTAGTGTGCGTATTTTATTTTTTTTTTTTACCTAGCCAAGTTCTTATCCTTTATATTTCCTATTCTCCACCACTGCCGACTGTCCTTTTCATTTTTAATATTCCAGTCGTGTCCTTTCGAAATATCATTTGTTTCCTAAACCCTGCAAAGTCACTGGATATTCGTGGCAAGTAACAACAACACAAAAAATAAATAAATAAATAAAACCGACAACTGCAATTTGTTATGCTGATAAAATATTATAATACACCCTGTTTTGTGTCGACTACACCACATATACATGATTTGTGGCCCGACAAACGTTGTTGGATTTTTATTTACTTTTTTTTTTTTTGTTTTTTTGTCTGTTCGATAAAAAAACGACGAATTTCTGTATTTATTACAATAGAATATTATTTCTGTGACCTAGATGACGATTTTCGATATTTTACCACGTCCAAGCGGACACTTTAACAGCCCGATGACCCCGACGACTTTTATCGGGGTCGTTGACAATATATCTGAGAGACCAGGGAACCCTGTGTGGATTGAACATAAACCGTTAATAGTTTTACACTAATACCGGTAAACATACCGGTTTATACCTTATAAACTGGTTAACATTGAAAAAATCGGTTTGAAAATTCTAAAGTCGATACGTGTTTTTACAGGGAATAAGGGTAATATAATATTATAAATACTAAATGAATATTAATGATAATGACTGAAAAAAAAAACCAAAATTAATTTTACTCGGAGTCTTCATATTAAGTATAACATACACAATCGCCAGATAACGAAAGAACAATAATTACCCTGTATACTCGTGAACGGAATTTTGATACAATCTTTATCGGCAATAGTGAAATTGTTCGCAGTGGTGTCGATTTAACCGTCATTATTAAAACGCTCGATATCGACTTCGAATTCCCGCGCGGTAATCCGAACCCTACAATAGCAAGCCGGAGCGAAAGATGAAAAACCCGCGAACGGCCGCCGAATCGACGGATTTGTCCTGCGGGTATTATTACAATAACAATAATATTATATTATACTCCGTGAGTCCCCGGACCAATTAAAACTCGTGACCGCTACTTGCACGAAAATCCACTTTACCCCTAACTATACCCCCCCTCTCATCCCCGAACGTCACGGTCGTCGTGTAATGACCTGACTACCGCATCGGAAACTCCCCGAGATCCCGGAACTTCAGCACGGGTTTCCGGTTTGGACGATGACGATTTTTGGTCAACCGAAAACTTCCCAACGAAATGCACACGTTGCACTGCGTATTCGTGTTTTCTGCGAATACGACGACTTATAATGATTGTACAGACGGTTCGTATCGATTTTTCGATTCTAAAAAATGAAAACTCATATAGGCCAAACTTTCCTTTTTTGGACTTTTCCCAGTGATCTCCCTCCGGCCCCCCGTAAGAGTGTTTTCTTTTTGAATTTCATTACGAAGTCTACTAACTCGATAATTTATAATTTATTTTCTTATACTCTATTGCAATAGAATGTACTGTGCGTGTTCATTTGGACACGAAAATACTCCTTTATAAAATGCATTCGTGCCTAAGGCAAGATCACATACTATATTTTATCAAAGCAGTGTACTTTTCATCAAATTTATATAAACGGGAGTCACTATTGTACAAAATCGCAAGTAGAACGAAAAGAACGGTTCTAATCCATAAGCTTTTGCATGATCTTGTGCGGGAGCTAAACCTATAACATGGCCGCCTGAATATGCAGAGCACTGGTAATCTACTAATTACTACATCATCTCTACCACCCAGCTATTCACCAATGTCACCGCCGCCCTCTCAACCGTCAATGGCGGAGTTCTCATTTCAGTAATTTCTTCATTTATACAACGACCAATCTTGTCGAATTGTTTTAATATTTTCGGTAGACTGATGGCGGTTTTCCGTATGACTGCCTCGAAAATGCACTATTCTAAATTTTGAAGTGCGAATAAATCCTGTCTATTTATTATTATGATGCGGCCGTCGCTCACGGTTTTTGTTTCTATTACCAGGACGTTTTTCTTTTCTGTACACACAACGTGATAACTTGAATATTACGGTTTTTAGAAATATGCGTGGCTTGTATTTCGGTGTGTCGAGTATGATTGACAGGATTTTGTCCTTCAGTGAAATTATACGCGTTAGAATATCTGGCGTTATATTAACGTACCGTGATGGAGTTATTATTTGTACTTTGACGGTGAACATGTTTGTCGAGTCGATGTCTATATTCACGAACTTACGTTCCAGTGAAAGATATGGGTCGTGATCGTCTTTTATACCCACATGTGTGCGGACTCGTACGAATGTTGTAATTATATTTCGTATAGGTAAAATCTATTGTCTTGACATCAGCAACCGGTAGTTGTCAGTGGGTATTCGTAGCAACGGGAGCGCACGGGCGACCGCGGAATAGTATTTGTAAAACGAAAAATCACGATCTTTGTACCCGCATGTGTGCGGACTCGCATGATAACGGTAACGTAAATTAGTATATTTCATACCTGTATATTTCATTTCTATTGAAAATACTTGTATCTTTGCCATGTATGACGAGCATAAGTAATACTTATGAAATAATATTTACGAATAGGTACTCGAGTTCGGTACATGGTATGATAATTCTATCATCTATGGAAACAATTATACATGTAGGTATTCTAATAATTATGTTATCGATGCGTCGTACGATGTATCGGTACGTAGTATTAAAAACGTTGATATAAAATATTGTTATCAGTGCTCATGTATATTGTATTATTTACATAAAAAATGCATTGGTTGGTGATATATGTGTATGGAGATTATCAATATCAACGATGTGTGTGCGTATTTGTATATGTGTGTGTGTCTGTGTGTATATATGTATGCGAGAGGTAAGGTTAGTCGTGTGATATTATTATAATGTTGGTGGTGGTGGAAAAAAAATATATTGTATATGGTAGCACATATGTGTAATATTTTATCGATGTGGCGAGGGTGACCGATCTCCAATGTCTCCTGAAGTTGCGACGAGTCTTGATAAAATTATGAAAAGCAATTGGTAATATTTGTGAATGATCATGATCATGATTGGACGACCATGTTATAAGTATAGCACAGAATTAGTGCATGAAAAATAATATTTTATAATCAAAGGTATCTATATAGGTTATCTATATGATAACGAAATAAGTATAACACTAGGTATAGCATGTGATAAGAGTGATACCGTAGGTAAATGATTACGATGTTGATGTAGGTATCTAATAACAGTAGGTATAAATGAGAGTAAGTCGAGTAAGTAGCTGATAATATGGAAAATATATTTAAAGAACGGGGCGTGGTCAAATAGGTCGAGTACGTGGTGCATGTAGAAAATATTTGAAAAAATATACTTTGAAATAAAGGGGTGAAGAAAAATATTGGTCGGTGAAGACGGTGGCTCCATTCATCCGCTTCTGTGTAAGATTGTGCAAGATTTGATTAGAATCTAGTATAAGATCATGCACAATATGAGAGCATGATCATGCACAATCACAAGACCGTGGTTGGACAAGATGCTCCCGCACAAGATCATGAACAAGCTTATGGATTATAATTGGTTTTTTCATACTACTACCGTGTTTGTCATGGATCACGATTGATTAAAACACGTGACCGCAATAAAATCTCAAACTACCCGTCTGCGTAAATCCCGTTTCTCTTCAGGGTCAAATCTACATCCGCTATCGGAAACATCACACGGTCGGAAATACGCTTTGGTTTCCGGGTTTTCGTTGATGATATGCCGGTAGAATATTTCAAACATGCCCATAATATTTCCCTACATTCAATCACGTGTAAGTATACATTAAAATAGTATACAATAATGAAAAAACTGAATATGTAGCTTTCATTGGTGAGATGTCGAAAAAAAGAATACAGAAAGTTTTATTTTTTTTAATGTACGTGACGATAAATCACTGTTAACGAAATAATATTCTGAGCGAAGTTCGGTTAAACGCATGTTTAAATTACCGTGATTTTCACGACTGTCATAAAAATTTTGAATTTAAACGCTTATAAACAAAAAATTATTTTATTACGCTAAGCTTCATTTTTTTTTTTTTTTTTTAAACCATTAATTACAAATATTGCGATCAATGTTATATAAAAGGATTTCAGCTCTACTAAAATATAAACTAAATAAAAACTAAACATGTTAAATGCTTTTAAAATATTTTAACACGCCCAGAATTATCTTGTTTGTACATTTAAATTTTAGAGTCTGAAATTATTGTCAACTAAATTACAACGGAAATAATGTAACCAAAAGTCGAAAACTACAAAAAAAAAAAAATAAATAAATAATAATAATAACAATAAAAACAGAGAAAATAATAGATAACATTCATATGACTACACAAAATTTTCAAAAAAAAATTGAAAACTGATCAAGATTTTTTATAAAAACACAAACAATATTAGTAAAATAGTAAAACTAATAAATCGAAAATATTCAATAAATTGTGTATATGAATGTATAGGCATAAAAGTAACTATGACTATTTATTGAAAACTTGGAAATAGGCCTAAAATAATGAAAGGTGTTTTACGTATTTAAATTAGTACTCAAATTTAGGGGAAACAACAGAGTAGCGAACACCAAGAAATAAACAGCGCGATGATTTTAATTTTAACGAAAATGTTTTGCACGAAAATTGTAACGAGCGTTTGATTATATTATGTTATCGGGACACAAATGACAGAATCGACTGGCTACAAGAATGATAGTTTAATAATTAAAGTATTTAAATGCGCGAATTAAACGAAATCTGAAATAGTTTAATGTTTTTCATAGTAATAATATTATATTGAAATATAGAGACTTCGTGTTTGTAACACGTACTGTTAAATTTAACAATATTACATTTATTTGGTGACACCTATACGTACACTAGTTCAACGTTTTTTTATTTACGTTTCGAAAACGTAATGTATTGTCTTTTAAAACATTTAATTTACACAACAGCCTTCGAACACTATACGTTCGTTTTATCCTATAGAATCGAATATTTCGTCAACTTTTGTGTTTATTTAATTATGAATTTATAACCATAACTTACGAGAAATTATCCAGGTAATAGCAATAATAATGACACAATGTCTATGTACGAGGGCTAATCAAAAAGTATCGCGACTGATAATATTACTCGGAAACCGAGCGTTGAAGAGTAAAACGATTTGTAGCTTCTATGACTTATACTGAGCACATCTATTCGCATAAAATCTCTATAAACTTCTTCGTTTTGATTTGACGATATTTTTCTAAAATTTGTTTTTTACGTTTGGCGATTTCGTAATGAATCCAAAAGAAGCGGAACTCGCTGCCACTCGAGGGCACATTTTCAGTTTTTCAATTGACATTTAATGGTCAAAAACCATGAAATGTTGCATCCCTCTGAAACTGGAAAAAAATGCAGACAAATTTTCTAAAATCTCCAAATCTGTCAAGTTACTTTTCTTTTGGGTTTATTAAAAAATCGCCAAACTCGAAAAATATATTTTACAAAAATATCAGTGAAATCAAACCGAAGAATTTTATAGAGAAGCAATAAAAACAAATGTACTCAGAAAAAGTCATAGAAGCAAGTAATACCATTCCTACTGCTCTTCGAAGCTCTTTTTCCGAATGATACTACCAGTCTTGATACTTTTTGATTAGCCCTCGTATAGTTAGTATTGTATCTATTCTATGTTCTTACGTTTATCCGTTATTCACAGTGCGTTTACCATCAAAATAAATTCCATAATTTACTATCTGATTAGATATGTGTAGTCTTGTTCGATGTAGTCTGAACGTACAAATCATCAACCTAACAGCTATCGGTCGAAACGGTATAAATAATATACCGATAGTAAATATTATGAAAGTTGTTGTGTGCTTCGACACATTATATTTACGCACAACTAATAAAAAAACGTAAGATCTAGACATGATGTATTCAACATGACGCTCTACACGGGTAAATTTTTGGGTCATTCGTTCAAATGAATGAGGCCCCTGATAACCCAACAAGACAATTGTTATATTTATATATATATTCGCAGTTTAAATAATTAATATTGTAGGAGTACATTTTGACACCAAGTACAATAATGTACACGTTTCACGTACGCGGCGTTGAAAAACGATGGTCAAAATTGTTTTTTAATTTAAAATATATATTTGTACCTACATGCAGAAGGACATACGTTTTCGCGGAACTCGTATAATACATATTTGTATACATTAAAAATATATACGTTATTATATCATGACCTACACGTTTTTATGTTCACACGTATAATATATAAAAAAACCTCAAAGCTTTTTTTTTCCGTTTATTGTCCACCCTAAGTTGTGAGAAGGACCTTTGGCTACAAAGCTGACAAAAGACTAGGAATAATAATATATAACATTACGGTATAATATCGGTACGAAGACGTATAGGTTCGGTATATTCACGGATTATGAATATCGTGTTTTTTTTTTTTTTTCACTAGCTTTTGCCTCGAGTTTTTTTTAAAATCGATAGGTAAACTATTATCAACCCTTTTGAATAAAAGTAAAAATAAATTTTGTTTATTTTTTGGATACGATGTTCGTACACTATTTCCGTGCAAGTTGAATTTTGTTTACTTTTAAAGACCGAGGTGGTCTGTTTTTACATTCATAGGCCAAAGCGCTTCAAGAAAAGTCCAAATAGTGTAACGTGACTCGAACCATATATATTCGGGTTTGGAAAAACGTAACGGGCGCCCTATATGGTGTCATGCACTTTAACATCTTTTTCAACTCCTGAGAAAAAACATTATTGACGATTCACGTCATACAAATCGAATACTTAAGTTACGTAATCGCTATGCATACTATGGTTTGGTTTTGAAATTAGTACCTACTGAATTATGTTACAGGTTTTTACAAATTGTCAAAGTAATGTACAAAGTGAGAATACGTTATTTATTTTGTTCAGGTCCATAGTTTTCATTTAAAAATAATAATCTGCAAAATTCAAATGAAATACCTCATTGCGAACAAAATATTCTATATAAGTGTCTATTATCTTTTTCAGTCTATAATAATATATAAATTAAAGAAGACGTGATGCTTATAGTTGTGTTAATATATGCATTTTTTACCCAACGAACTTGTGATAACTGTGAAAGTATCTAGTATCTAAAACTATAGACTAGTTTACAACCGTAATGGTAACAATACTCGTTGCGAATTTCTTATCAGTCTACGATTTTATCAGTTATATCATTTTTTCAAATATTTTTAATTTATTTATATTATATCCATGTTGTAAATCATCTAATCTAGACGGTGCTCTTTGTGCCCCAAACATATTGCGACGATTGCTCGAACGCCTAGGCATCCATGTACACTGTACTCGATACCTAGGTATAAATTTCGACCCGAACTTTTGTCGTAAAATACAACTGTGGCAAAAAACGCGTAGAATTTAACGTTTCGTAGATAGACCCAAACAAAACATAATCCTGTACAGATCACCGACGCCGATAAAAGAATAACCGGCTGTCATTTATATCGTCCGTACTTACTTGTTCCGCCCCCGCAACCGATTTCTGCGGTCTCGATATAATATTATTGCGGCGTTTACTTTTTGTTTTTGGGAACAGTTTGACGTAGGTATACATACTGGGAAATATTTGATTATGCGGGTACGGTACGCGTGTATGCGAGGATTTTTGGCCCGAACTGCGACGCCATGTCACGTTTGAGTGTCAGTCAGATTGTGTAGTCGGTGTTATTTTTCAAAAGTCACTGGGATATACCGTAAACTCGGTATGTACACGCAATACACATAATAAACAAAATGTATCAAAATAAATAAATGTTTTCAGAAATACCCGCGGGGTCGATGTACACCAGCAGTTGTATACCTACCCAACTCGATTTCGCTAAGTCGGGGACGGTTTTCTAGATTGCCCGACGGACGGATGTCGGATTTTTCGGCACAAAATAATAATTCAAACGAAATATTACGTAAGTACATAACCGGTAACCTAAATAATAGTAGAATAAATAATGTTACGAAATCGCATTTTTTTTTGCGCTAACACGATTATCGAGTGGAGAAATCGGTGCTTTAAGTGTTCGCGTTGTGTATAATATTTTGGGTGTGGCTCATTCACTATTATTCTTATCGGACTTTTTTAGCAAGACGTATAACGGTAATAAGGCACCGCGCACCGTTCAATTTTTTATTCATACGCCATTTGCGTACCGTCCATTCACCTCGCAACAGAATATCGTTTGTGCATCAACATAATATTTAACAAAATATAATCGGAGGATTATCGCAAGGAATATTAGGAGTATCCAAATGCACAAATTGTTTTCTGAATTTCGGCTCAATATTTTTATCGGCGTTTTGTACGGCAAACCCACGCATTACGGATCGGCCAAATAGTATCGGCCAAAGTGATTAATTGCACTACAAACCAAATATTATAGAATCAAAATAATTTTGGTGCGCAAACAATGTACGATATTTTCGAAGCAGATAAATACAGACAGTGCGCAAATGTTAATCAGCCGTTGACGCGCAAAGGATATCCTGTCCTACCCTATCCTATCCTAGATATACTTATACAATTTTTTAGGAAGCAGGTAAACATTCGATTTGCGAACGACGACCGCCGAATATTTGTCTAGGTATTATTGTAAAAAAAAAAAAAAAGTTATAGTGTTCCTCGGGTATAAATACATATATGCGTGATTGTAAACAAAAAAAAAATAAATAAAAATCATATTGAATCTTGAAACAACAAACAGTATTCATTGCAACGGGAGGAAAAGACGTATTTGTTTTGTAGTTATACTAAATTTCTGTTTTCTTATTCTTTTGTTTTTTAAAAAGTTTATTTCCCGTCAGCGTTACTTATATATACAAAACGCAAATAGCCATTTTCTGCGCTCTTTGGAACTTATTAGTTGATACTAAGGTCTTTGTTAACTAAGTATTATTCGGTTATTCGGTACCTATACATTTTTTCGTTTGATTATTTTTTTTTTTTTTTTACTTTTATAGTCATACACATATTATACGGCTACTGAAAACATAGATGACCGTCGTGGAAGCCGTATATTAAGACTGGCTGGCTGGTTACTAAAAATCCCACGTGATGGTCTATCCAAGATGCAGCAACATTTGGCGAGGATTTACCTGTCAGTGGTAAAGTAGAATAAGTTGACCACCTTTCTGTGTTTTTTCATCCTAAGTATACGACTGGGGGAATTTCAAAGGTCTCTCAAGACTAAAATACTTTATAAAAACCGCATTCTGAAAGCCCGGAAAATATTGTTGGTAGCTTTAAAGATAATATAGTTTAATAGAAAGTCCTCAGTTATTTATATAGATCACACATAAAAAAAAAAATAAAAAAATAGAGATGCGACTTTATTGTGATATATATATATTACGCAGAGATTAAATTTATCACGAGAGATGGATGTTGACTTAATGTTATTGTTTAATATTATTAGGTATCATAAATATTTTTATAATTTTTCTCGCTTTGAAAATATAAGTGATCGTGTGGCATAATCTAATTTCGATTTACCATTATTAGTTTATAAAAATGTAACATTTTCTCCCTTTGAAATAAGCCGCCAAAGAAGCTACACATAATTTTTAAATACACCTATGTATATGTTTAAAAAAAAAAAAAACCATTGAAGACGTTTACCCATTTTCTATACATTGTGTAACTCGCGAAACAATTTTTAAACGAAAATTAAATTTAAAAATCCACTACACGCAATTTAGTTTGTATCATGTGATGGTGTACGTCGCCATACATTTTTGTACAATTATTATGTGCAGAGCTTAATAAAATGTTATTTTAATAAATACGTTTTCGTTTAATTATTTTATTTCTCAAAATCCACGGATAATAAATTAAGTAAAATATATATATTTTTTCTTTTTCTTAACAAATTATATTAAAAATAATCATAACAGAAAATGAGAAATTTCTTCCTCGGTTTCAAAGGTGTGAACAAAAAAAAAAAAAAACAAACTATACAGTCTAGGGACGAATTTATATCCACAACGTAACAGTAAAAAGATTTTGTCTGTTCTTTTAAGCCATTTGTCATCGTCACTTTTGAACGTTATTATATGATATAACCGAAATTATTAAATTTAACTAAAAGATAAGGAAAGAAGGCGAAACAGCACATAAACGTGTGATAAAAATACGAAATTAGTTATGACGGTGAGTCAAAAACCTTGTCTGAGAAACGACAAAAGTATTATTATAGTACCAATAATAATACGTATAGCTATACGATTGTTATCAAACGATAAATATTAAGAACTATGTTATCTAGGTTAGGTTTTTATTAGGGACGGGCGATATCAAAAATTAAAGTGTAGAATTCGATTCTAAATTCGTATTCTCGATTTACCGTTGGTTAAGAATAATAAACAAAAAGGAATATCAATCTATTGACCGTTTATATTATTTACCATTATAAGTCATACCGTTATACTATTTAGAGTTAAAATGGAAAAACGCTGCATCTTTATTCGGATAAAAAAAATTTAAAAAAAAAACCACCTAATTTGTTTATTCTAATCGGTGTAACTGCAGCGTGATTAGTGCGTTATCACTAATCATTTTACCATAATACAATATCGAAATCGAAATCACGTCTATTTCGATATTATTTGATACTGTATTGAATATCGAAGATATCGACGAGGTAATAAATTATTCGTCCCTAGTTTCTATCGTGTCATTAAGTCAAATAATCTAATTGAATACCGAAGTATTTCGCGGGTACAACGAAATAAAAAAATATAAAAAAAAAAAAAAAATACGAGAATAATCATTTACCTATATTCTTAGAACGAAAAAAAGTTTTGCTGACGTACGTATATAATTATAATTATACTACCGCCTGTAGTTAAATTTTACTTAGGTACTTTACTAAACGCACACAATCAAACTTATAATATAATATAAAAATACTCAATTCTGAAATATTATTTACTGATTTTTTTTTTTTTTTTTTAAAACTGAGTTTTACTTAACTTATAAGTTAAATTATTCATGTTATAACAAGATTATTATATAGGTAATTGTATAAGATTGTATATTATTATTGCGTAGTTTCCTAAGTAAGATGCTAATAATTACGATAGTAATAAATTCTGGGAAAATTAATTTATGTACCGCGTAAATAATATTGTTTAAATATTTTATTTTAATTTCGTTGTCATCGAACGTTTAAAGAATATAAGTCAATTAAATAAGAGTTTTTTTGGGGGGAGAAAGGAGAATCTTATTTTAATAAAAATAAATTATAAATTCCGCACCTATAAAATAAAATATTATTTAAAATCCGATGTTTATAAAGATAACTGTGATATAATATACCTTATATAGGTGAACGTTTAGTTATTTAGACAATAAAAACTAAATGAAAAAAAATACACTATTATACTATTATTATTTATTTAGACCACCACTACCGAGATATTCTCCGATTTAACAAATGTGGAAAAAATACCTATATTATAAATATTTCAGGAGTTTTTTGTATTATATTATTTTTGTATGTCGATCGCCATTTGTTTGTTTTTTTTCTTTGTCTATAGCTTATATCGCGTTTTACATATTTTTTTAAGGGTATCTTTTTTATATGTTTTTTTTTTTTTAAATTATTACTAAAGTACCATTATCTATGATATTATTAATGCGGATTTTATACAGAAATATTATGATTATTACTCTGTAACGCTATAGTATCATAACATAATACGTATAATGTGTTTTTCGCAATTTTCATTAATCTTATTTATATATTATATATTATCCTCATATAGAGAGAGAGAAAACGCTTTTGTCGCTTAATATACGTATATATTATATATGTTTTTTCGTTTCGACGTTTAGTGTTGTTGAAGTAAAACAATATTATTATTATTCACGGAATTCACTCTTGGAAAATTTAAATTTTCATACTTACATTATATTATAATAACTTGTATATACATGCAAATTGTATTTTTTTTTTTTGTTTTTTTAGACTACGCGTTAAATATAACAGGTATCTACAACATTTTATACGGTGGCGCATTCTTGTTATAGGAGGGAAATAGAAGGAAGGATATTATATTATAATGTAAATTAATATTGAACTTATTTGTAACAATACATTATTGCTAATCAAATGAGTGGCTTTTTGCCAATGCTAGGTATCCTAAAAAAAAAAATAAAAAAATAAAAAAATGATCAAATGTCCAAACTAGTAGATCAAAATTACTGCAATAAAGTCCTTTAAAGTTTTTTTATAACTTCAGACTTATCGAATAGAAACATATAAACATTCAAATTTGTTTAAAATAACTTTCGAATCATCACGATAATGCGTTAGACAAAACGGCCAAACTATATAAATATATAATAACTATTTTTCCATTTCGATATTCCGGATAATTTATAGATGTTAACTGTTTAGAAAATCTGGTTTTGGAATGATTCTTTTATAATTTCTAATTTGGGACACAGTGAAACGGTTTAAATTACATTTATTTTTCGCCAGTATTATGAGTTGCTATATAATACCACGAGGAAGTAGCTTAAGGAAAATTAAATTATTTCATCCGTAGTTTTTCGAGAATGGTCATATTATAATTATCTCCCGTGCATTTCCGTTTTATTAAATTGTGTGTTTAAAATAGAAGCGAAATAATAAATATTTATTAAAGAGACTGAAATTTCGACGAATCGATTAATAAAATAATAATTGCAGTGGCCGTGTAAAGATCATAAAAAATAATATCAGATATCAGGTACAATATTAGTGCCGTGGAATAATAACTGTGGGTAAAAAAAATTTGATTATTTATCGATTTGTCATTAATTAATAATGTATAATATATGTACTTAAGAACTAATATAAAAGATACGAATAATATGCGTAACGAGATACTAAAAGTAAAGATAAGTGCGGCGAGTCAAGCATATTTTGCTATGAATAAAATGTTGAGCTCCGAATTATTGTCTAAAACATCAAAAGTAAAACCTAGACCATCGCTCAAAGGGATGAAAAAGAAATGCTATTATTCGAAAAGAAAAGTGCTGCGGGAAATACATGGGTACCTGACACAAAATCTAAATGAAAAATCCGAAAGAAGGGAAAACTCAGACTTAGAAAGACTTAATAACACACCAAACATTGGAAGATATCTTATGCCAAAACGATTAGGGCGGGGAGTTTATGTTTAGAAATTCGGAGAGGTCTTGTCCGGAATATACTAATTAAAAACTTAACCAAAGAACGTCCAAAGGGGATGCTCCGTCTTCGATATATGGACAGAGTCGTCAAAGATGTAATATCGATGTACAGGATTGGTGAGGAATCG